GTAGAAAATAGGAATCAGGTGTTAGAAGCTGCTGTACTATTTTTTTTTCTTTTCCACATATGGAAACAAGAGGAACACCCAAAAAAGCATGATAAATTTGGTAATATTTCAGATTCTCTCTCTCTCTTTTTTTTTATTTCAGATTCTCTTAACAAGAATGTGCAAACTGCAAAAAGCAGGTCAATTCTAAAACTATAGGTATAAACATACTCTTTTCATACATTTTTCCCCCCTAGGGCGGGAAAAAAAGCGCCTGAGCCGTCCAGGTCCAGTGAGTTAAGTTTACTGATAAGGTTTGCTGTTTTTGAATTAGAATGTTTCTAGAAGTTTTTTGAGAGAGAGAGAGAGAGAGAGAATGAGCCTAAGCAGGGCAGGGGCTGGGGAGGGGCAGAGAGAGAGTCTTAAGCAGGCTCCGAGCTCAGCACACAGTCCAACATGGGATGGGGCTCGATCTCACGATCCTGAGATCATAACCTGAGCCGAAATCAAGAGTTGGATGCTTAACCAGTTGAGCCACCCAGGTGCCACTAGAGGTGTTTTGTATTAAAAACTTGGCACATCTTCTCCTTTTTTCCCCTTCTTTCTTCTTCCTTTCCTTCCTTGTTTCTTTCTGTTTGATATTTTTCTCCAGTGTGTCTGTTTTACCCTAATATTCTATTCTCTGCCCTTCACCAGTCTCCGTATACCATTCTCTCCCTTGTCTTTCTTGGGTTTCATTTCTCCAGTCTGCTCAGTCTCTGGAAGCATCTGGCCTGTGCGTGACCTTCTGCAGCCAGGCACCTGCTGTCAGGTCCTGCCTAACTTAGAGTTGACCGTGGAATGAAGTCTCCAGTGGACATAACGATCCCTGTCGGCTCTGCAGGGAGAAGCTTGCAGCCTGCCCTGCACAGGGTACAGAAGGGCCGAGAGAGGACAGGCCTCGGAGCCGTCGCCTGGCCGCCAGCCAGCAGGGGCTGGTCTGTCAATAACTCTCTGGAGCAAACTTTCAGGCTCCTCCCGTGTGCTGCACTTCAGTTTTCTTAGTGATGATTCAAGAATGCTCCCTGGGAATCTTTTCCTTTCCTGTCTCAGTAGTTTTGTATGGGTTGCTGGTTTCTTACTGATGACGTTTTGGTTACAGGGGCGTTTTACCATTGTTTGTATTAAGCATTAATGAAACATGATGATTCTGGGAGTTCACATTTTTTTGCCTTTTTCAAAATTACCTTTCTTCCCTTTCAAAAGAGAAACTTTTGTTTTGTTTTGTTTTGTTCTGTTCTTCTTAATGGGATGAAGTACTGTTAATCCCTCAGTAAACTAGCTGTCACCTGCGTAGGTCTCTGAGTCCACACAGTTCATTCTCTTTCCCTTCTGATTTCTATGTCTGAGCTCCTGAGTAATTCTGGATGACAGCGCCGGTGTGTGGAAGTTCTTGCCAGGTGATCTCACCTGCAGAGACTGTGGGCACGGCGCCCCGATATCGATCTGCCAGGACTGTGTGTCAGGAAGGACATCCTGTGAAATTCCTGCTCGGGGTTAACCAAACGGGAGCGGTGCTGAAGGGTTTCATTCTTCTGGCCTGTCTCCTCCCTTATTAAAATGGATGAAGAAGCCTTTTTAGCCATGAATTCTTGCTGACAGGCTGACCCAGGGTCAGGATGGTGGGTAAGGCTAAGAACATTCCACAGGATGGGTGGATGAAAAAGAACATATGGAGCTCGATACAGGCCTGATCTAGAAGGGGTTTCAGTAATGATCACCCGACCCTAGAATGGGGTGCCCCTCACAGGGAGCAGGGGTCCCTCAGCACCTGGGGAACCTGGGGGTCCCACTCGTGGTTTCGGCTCAGCTCATGATCTTGGGGTCATGGGACAGGCTTCTCATGGGGCTTTGTGCTCAGTGTGGAGTCTGCTGAGGACTCTCTCTCCCTCTCCTTCAGTCCCTGCCCCCAGCTCTCTCTGTCTCTCTGTCTCTCTCTCTCTCTCTCTAATAAATGAATAAATCTTAAAAAGAGAGAGAAAGAGAGAGCCTGAGCTCTGGAGTTAGGCCTGGATGCAGATCCTGCCCTCGCTACTTGTTAGCTCTGTGATCTTAGATCTTACCCTTTGTTATTCCCACCTGAACTGGGGATAAGAGTAGTATTGACTTTCTTGAGGTTTTAGGAAGATTCAGTGGGAAAGGGGGTATAAAATGCTTACCACCCATCCAGACCATCCAGACACACAGTAAATATTCAGTAGATGATCGCTGATTTTACCCCCGGCTTAGGACTCTTTCTACACTTACTCTGTTGCTTCCCATCCTTTTCCAAAAATCAAGTTAGAGACTGTGACATATGTGTCTATTTCCACACAATGCGGGGTGCTATGCACCAGGGGCCTGTGCCCTACAGTTTACCCCGCCAAGGATCCGTGAAGACTATGCAAAGCGGACAGGGATAGACTTAAGGGCACCATTTTTCAGAACTTTAAGTTCCAGGTATCTCCTTTCTAAAACTGACTGCATGTGCTAAGTGTCACCCCAGGATTTTTTTTTCCAGTCTTCCTCTCTCACAATTGCCCTTTTTGCGGTTTTACTAAAGAAAGGCATCTCGGGGCACCTGGGTGGCTCAGTGGATTGATTGGGCATCTGCCTTCGATTCAGGTCGTGATCCCAGGGTGCCGGAGCACTGGGCCCCACATCGGGCTCCTTACTCAGCAAGGAGCCTTCTCCCTCTGTCCCTCGCCCTGCTTGTGCTTGCTCTCTCTCTCTCTCTCTCAAATAAATAAATAAATAAATAAATAAATAAATAAATAAATAAATGCTTGCTCTCTCTCTCTCTCTCTCTCTCTCTCAAATAAATAAATAAATAAATAAATAAATGAATGAATGAATGAATAAATAAAATCCTTTAGAAAAAAAAGAGAACCAAGGCATTACTTTTACTCATCTCAAATTGTAGTGTGGTGTCTTGTTTCAAAGTCTCAAACTGGGCAGCCCAGGTGGCTCAGCGGTTTAGCACCTGCCTTCATCCCAGGGCGTGATTCTGGAGACCCGGGATCGAGTCCCACATCGGGCTCCCTGCATGGAGCCTGCTTCTCCCTCTGCCTGTGCCTCTGCCTCTCTCTCTCTCTCTCTCTCTCTCTCTCTCTCTCTCTGTCTCTCATGAATAAATAAATAATTTTTTTAAAAAAATGTCTCAAACCACTGGGGCAGAAGATATTGGGGGGGTCAATTAAAAAAATTGGTTTCAGTGAAGCCTCTTTTAATGAAGCCACCATACCCCCTCCTCCTACCCTATTAAAATTGCATTCTCAGGAAAATTTAATTTTAGGGCCTAATGAATTAGAATTGGAATCTGTTTTATTATTTTGCTCATAGATTATTAGTGATATTTTTGGTGATTATATAATCTGAAGAGTCTCTTTTATACTTAAAGCTCAATGGTCACACAGGAAATTTCAGAAAATTGAATTGAAAAATGTATTTTTGCATCAGAGTATGCTAGGGTGATTAATAAGATACCCTAAACACATAGAATTACATTAGGAAATTCGGGGGGAAAACTGACATAGAAATGTGTTTTTTTAAGGAGAAAGAAGAATAATCTCCCAACTGTTAACAGAAAGCAATTTATCTCTAAATGGAATATGGTGGATATCAAATCACTGCTTTTTATAAATGTTTGAAGACCCCTGTTATATTTTATTGCTATTAGTTTCTCACAGAAGAGGAGGGCACTAGAGCCTTTCTTGCTGTTCTGTTAAGCACAGAATTTAATTGGTCGATATTTTATGTATGCCTTACCTTTTGCTGATTTAATCTTTAGCTGGAAGATACATGGGTATCTTTCATGTGCCAGACTCAGTGCTGAGTTGTACCAGAAGATATACCAGGCCCTGCCTTTATGGAGTTCATGGGTCAGCCTCTACTCTGGTTGAAAAGCTGAATCATGGTAGGCATTGCAGTTAAAAAAAAAAAAAAATGTGGTCATTTAGGTGGAGATCGCAGTGATTCCACTAACGGTGCCCCTGCATTACTCCAAGTAATTGTTCTTTTCTTTTGTTTTTTAAAGATTATTTATTTATTTATTCATGAGACACACACACAGAGAGAAAGAGAGGCAGAGACACAGGCAGAGGGAGAAGCGGGCTCCCTGTAGGGAGCCCGACATGGGACTCGATCCCGGGTCTCCAGGATCAGGCCCTGGGCTGAAGGCGGGCACTAAACCACTGAGCCACCCGGGAATCCCCTCAAGTAATTATTCTTGTGGGTACTGTTGCTTCTCCAAAGAATGTCCGGTTAGCATCCTTCTTTGTCTAATTAATTAATTAATTTTGAGAGAGAGAGAGAGCATGTGTGTGTGAGCCAGTGGCAGGGGTGAGGGGCAGAGGGAGAGGGAGAGAGAGAAAAATCTCAAGCAGACTCCCTGCTGAGCACAAAGTCTGGTGTGGGGCTCGATCTCATGACCCTGAGATCATGACCTGAGCAGAAATCAAGAGTCTGGTGCTCGATGGACTGAGCCACTAAGCGTTTCCTCTTTGTCAGATTTCCATGTGCTGGAAAGAATGCTGAAATCGGGGCTGAGGAGACTTTGTTTTCTTGTTTGATTGGGTTTCTATGAAGAGCACGAGTATTCCAGGAAGTCTTGGTGAACCATGGTATTAAAGTTATTTCTTCAGTGTGCGATCCTGGGTGGTAAACTCTCAGAAGGGTGGCTTCACTTTCTTTATTGTTAGCGTTCTTCATTTATGATTTGGGAAATTAATTTGATAAGCACTTTAGAAATATCTAGACCTAGGACTAGAGCAGATTAGCACAACCTGGTGGGGGTAGTGTTGTAGACACTTTGCAGTTTTTTTGTGTTGATGCTAATTTATTAATGTGATTAAATATTTATATGAGGGACCCCAAATTGCATACGTGCTGAAGTCAGACATTTTACATAATTTTCATTCCTCCGAGGGCACGGAGTTAGGCCTTATGTAATAAATTGCTTGTTGAAGTAAATGAGCTCAAGCTTATTTTGCTTTTTCCTCTAGGTGAAAAGAAATGGATTATCACAGACAGTTAGCCAGGAGGAAAGAAAGAGACAGGAGGTATGTTTTCTACTGAGCAGAGGCTTTAGAGCTCCAAAGAGTGTGTGTGTGTGTGCTTTTTACCCACTGTGTGCACTGGTTCAGTGTCTTCCTTGAAAATGTATTCATTCTGTTCTTTTTGCATAAGAGGTATGTGATCATTGTCAAACGAAACCACACCTAAAAACCCAGAATCTCCTGTGCCTTTTGGGCCAAGGGCTTGAGGGGAGTGATGATGGCAGTGTTACCAGGGAGATCTTCTAGGAAGGATGTGAATCTCAGGCCTGCGAGGATATTTATTTACTGTCCCTACCTGAGGAAGAGGTGTAAAATTGGCCGGTGTTGCCAATTTTGGAGGATCCGCAGTTGATTTTGTTAAGGAGCTAGATGAATTCCTTACACGGGATGTTGGTGCCTATCCGCATATGCGGGTTGGCTCTTCATCATTAATGAACATTTATCAGGTAAAGGATTGTGTGCCTGACCCCAAGCATTTCTGCAAGAGTGTCCTTCGCTCCTTCTTGAGACACTGATGGAAGCAGACTGGGCGTCTTGTTGAATGAGCAGAATTACTTTCAGTTGTTTGAGTTTAATATAAAAGAATTCCTGTGGCTGATAAGAACCTTTTGTGGCTAGATACAGTCAAGCTCTTTTACTACGCCCGGACTCTTTGCTGTAATTGACAACAAATTTGTTGGATTAAAATAATGGGGAGAGAGAGGAGAGCAAAGAAATGTATTTGTGAGAGATCTTCTCTGAATCCCAAGTGATGTCTGTAAATCCTTAGTGTCCCAGAGCAGCATACTTTGAAAATAGGCCTGGAGGAGGTGACCCCAGAGGTTAATTAATGTCTCACTGAGATTTTATGACATGACCTAGCTTTCCTTCCATAAATTCTACCCCTTGACAAAGCATGACCTCAGGATGCAATCTCAAGCCATCTGAATGCTTTTGCTTTTTTTTTCCTTTTAACACTGTGGGCATGGACTCTCATTTCTTACGGTTTGGGTGTATGTGCCTTATATAAACAGTAGTTTGAGGATGCATTTTTCTTCCTGCTTATCTTTTTGTGCTTTTCAAGGTAATGTTTTTTTTTTCTATAGGAGAATCATGAAAACTATATTTAGTTCTTCAATTATCATAATTAATAATACGTCTCTTTTTCCTTCACACCAGGCTATCTTTGAAGTCATATCCTCTGAACATTCCTATTTACTCAGCTTGGAGATCTTGATACGAATGTTTAAAAACTCTAAAGAACTGGGTGACACAATGACCAAAACAGAGAGTCACCATCTTTTTTCCAACATTACAGATGTCTGTGAGGCAAGCAAAAAGTAAGTTCAACTTGGTTGGCCTTTGGGCATTCTAAGACCTTACTTACCAACAAACGTCTATGTTACCTCAAAAGGAAGACCTTTAAAAGTATGAGATCTCTCATTGATTCGGTGACTTTCATCTTCATCTTTTGAAATAAGTATTAAGATCTATTTCGGGTTATTGATGTATAGATGGATGGCAGGTGCGTAATGAATCATCACCGCGGACAATTTTATCTGAGGTCCCTCAGTCCTCTGTCCTTGCCTCTTCTCCTCGCACCTCTCCTCTTCTTCTTCCTTTTAAATATTTATATGAATAATAGAATGACCTTTCGTCATGAGGGAAAATAACTGATAGTAGTACTATTCAAATACAAAAATCATTTTTGTTTACACCTACATGTTTTTTTTGTTTATATATTGTAAATACTATTTTGAAAATGTAGTCATAGTGACCATAATGGGTTCCTTAGGTTTTCCCTATCTAACATTCCGTAAGACACTATTAAAGAGGAGTTTTCATTATTAGGTTTTTTGAAAATTTTATTTATTTATTTATGAGACACAGAGAGAGAGAGACAGAGGCAGAGACACAGGTAGAGGAGAAGCAGGCTCCATGCGGGGAGTCCGATGTAGGACTCTATCCTGGGATTCCCAGGACCATGCCCTAGGCCAAAGGCAGGTGTTCAACCCCTGAACCACCCAGGCGTCCCTTCATTATTAGTTTTAATGAGCGTAGGAATCTCAGTTCACATACCAATAGTGGGCTCTTACGTTCTTCTGAGTGAACGACGGAGCCTACAGGGGAGCTGTGTGCCATCCTAAGTTGCTACTTTGTTAGATCAAAACGGTCGAATATTGGCAGTTTTCTATTGTTGGGTCCAAGGTTTACCATATCATTAATGAAGGTTTAGTAGCTTCAAAGCTTCTCATTTGGAAAGGTACCTCTTAAATATTTGCTTTTGTGCCTGCTGACTCCATCGCTGTGTGCAGGTAGGATCTACCTTTTGAACTTACAAGATGGAACATTCATGGTGAACAGCTGAGCATGCACGTTGGGGCTACTTCAGAGAGCTGGAGTTTGTGGTCAGATCAATGAGATCTTCATATTTGCATAATAGTGGCACGACTTCAGAAGCCAGACTCTGCCACAGGAAAAGATCCTGGAAATCTTGATACCGACACGGATAATTAAAAATACATGGTCAGGGGACACACAGGGCCCCGGGGCACACTGGGCTCATGGTGTGCAGATGGTGGCACGTACCACAACTTGGGAATCCTTGTTTAGAAGTTAAGTTGTTACTTGTGTTCAGCCCCACTGGTCCTTTTGGTACCAGTCTTGCAAGTTTCAGTAAGAGAAATGAAAATCTCTTTCCTCCTTCAGTGAAGAGGTTCAGAACAAGAGCCTTCAGTGATGTGTCCCTGTTTGAAAGGTATTCAGATTTCAAAATGGGTCTCTTTCATTTTAACGTGTGCTTTGGTTGAGCTACAGAAACAAAGCTCTGTATTAGATGCACAGCTATCAAGAATTATTACTGTTTTGATAACTGTAAAATGTAAGTCATGATTTTAATTGGAATATGTTTTCTGAAAACCACAGTGGCAGCCTCCACAGAATCGTGCTTTGAATTGTGTTGGCATCAGTCAGCTTCTTACAGTGTATGAATGACTCCAGCGAAAGCTTTTAGTAAATTCTGTTGTAAATTAATCACAGTTCCTTGAAGAGAGGATACTTTGGGCCCTGATAGCACTGCTTGTATCAGTGTGATTCATAAGGGACCTGGGCTCAAGCAGTCGCTTTTCCTTTTGGTAGTTGATTAACCTTGAGCAGGTTGCTAAACCTCACCCCCTCAATTATTTATTTATTAAAAAATAAATTTAAAGAATCTAAAGCTGGTTCATCCGAAATAACTCGTTTTGTTTGGATTATAGATTAATATTTTATTTTTAATTTCAATCTTTCGCAAAATCTAAATCTTTAACGATTTTGTAAAAAGTTTTCATTTCTATACTGGCTTATCATAAGTAAGACACCATTCTGGACATTTCGGTTTATTTTTTATTTTTAAAACAAAATTCAAAATTCTTAACTCAGTCGCACAACCCTGAGATCATGACTTGAGCCGAAATCAAGAGTTGGATGCTCAAATGACTGAGCCCACTCAGGTGCCCCAAGAGGCGGTGTTTTGATTTGGATCGCTGCCGATGCGATCCCCGATCTCTTTTATGATGTATTTCAACTGAGAATGTTCATCTTCTGCATGATAATCTGATGTCTGTATCATAGAAACATATTACAGAAGTTTTCTTTGATTTAGTTTGAAACACTCCGATACAGCATTTTAAAAATTTGGAAATGCTCAGCTTTGCAAAGCTCATCTCATGACATAATGCCTTCTTGCTGAACTTCTCACATTTGGTCCCGAGTGACTCTAAGGGGACAACTGCTTACTGTGTGCTACCCACAAAAGGGTTTGCGGTCATCAGAAAATGCTAAGATGTTGAATGAAGCCAATGACTGGTGTTTGAATTAGTGACTACCGGCAAAGCGTGGTGCTGTTCAGTGTGGCATAAGGAAGATGGACACTGTCTTCATTGTTGTACTTTCCCCTGCTGGAAGATCATAGCCGGAGGTGATGGCATGTTTAGAGCAGGGTGAGGTCAGAATATGCTGGATATTCAGCTCTGGGGATTCACCGATGCGATGTCTGGTCCCCTTTCCATCGGCGCAGGTTCTGCTTGCTGGTAAGAGTCAGAAGCCCTCGGGAGTCAGAAACAGGAGCACTCGGATGCTGGGCCCATCCGCGGGATGTCCCCGCTCCGTTCTTCTCTTTGTGAAGAATTGATGCCCGGTTTCTAGAAAGTGCATTTCTGCTGGCTTCCGCCCAGGGGCTGTTGTCCCCCGGGATCAGCTGCTGGGACATGCACAGTGTGCGCAGAGGGTCCCCTGCGGGGCACTGGCCCTGGGGTGCGCGGGCCTGGCTCCCTCTGAGGTTGCCCAGGAGAAGCGGAGGCGACGGTGAGCTGGAATGGTGCAGACCCCCGTGTGCCCACCCAGGGGTGTCCAGGGCTTCCTGGAGGCTGCGGGGACCCTCGGGCCACCCAGGCAGGTGCTCGCGCTTGCCCTGGGGACGACGGTTTGACGGTGAAAGAGCCCGCCACGCTGGGAAACTGAGGCAGGGCCTGCGAGGAAGGTTTGCAGGACATTGGCACCTGGAGTCACCAGGAGCTGGTAAGAAAGAGGAGTTGTGTTTGCCGGCCAGGTGTCTGCCCAGGTGGCCGTGGCCTGTGCTAGAGAACGTGCAGGATGCTTGCTTCTCCTTTTTCCCATCGCCAGGTTAAAACTGCGGTATTTCTTAGGAAGTCAGTTTAAAGCTACAACTGCGCTGTCTTCGGTTTCTTCAGAGCAAAATAAAAATATCCCTCAGTGTGCTTTCGAGTCTTGAGGAACTGAGTCTGTTCCCAACCTAGAAAGAGCAGCCAGTGCCAGACTCTTCAGTTTCTGCCTTGCGTGGAAGAGTAAATGATGGAAATCATTAACGTGCAGAGTAGCCCCCAGCACTTGGTGCCCAGAAGACTCCTTCCTGATTTTCATCAGATTATATTAACATCGAAATATCGTGCGGCACCGAACCCTGCTCTAAATGCATATGCTTTATACATTACCTGTTGAGATTATAGTTCAAAAATTTTACTCAAATAAGGGTGCATCGTATCTGCATTGTAAAATGCATTTCCTACTTGGTCATTAAAAATTCCAAGCTCGAATGCGTCAACAGGAAACCTTCAAAAGCTTTCTAGTATTAACATCAGCATTTCTTCCTTCCTGACTAATTTTTGGAGCTAAATTTCAAAAGAAAAACATGTTAAATTTAACTGGGCCAGAGAATATGGAACTCTTTATGTTGTAAAGCCTGAAGTATTGGCTGTTGGCCTTTTTTTTTTTTTTTCATTAGCAAACATTCTTCTCTTAGGCAGTAGGCAATACGGGTTTACCACAGAATCTTTGGTAAATAAAGCAGCTGGTCCATTACTCTGCATGTGACAGAAAAACGTCCTTTTCAAAACCAAACTTCTTCAGCTGATAGTTGAACGGCAGTGACATTCAGAAGCCCCTTTTTACGACATGCTTTGCCTTTTTTTTTCTTTGTCCTGAAATAAATAATGGAAGAGGCTGATTGGAAATTTATCAGTATTTTAGTCCACATGGTTCAGCTTTTATCAATAACCGGTATCTGAAGCCATAGTAAAAGAAATAAGTCGTTATTTAAGTTACCATTTCAAGTAAGGGAAGAAAGACTACAGGTGTCGGAATAATAGTCCCAGTCCTTTCAGCTAAGACTGTGGAAAAGCAGTGGGTCTGGAAGTCTTTATAAAAAGTCTTCGTAACTGATGCCACCCGTGAAAGATGACTCATGAGACACATGCCCTGAACTTCATTTGCTTCTGAAATCCCATTAAAAAGGATCAGATAGTCAATGCACAAACCCCCAAGGATTAAAAGAAAAACAACAAGAAAACAAGAAAAACAATAAGAAAGACATAACAGCAGCAATATTTTGGAACCTGAAAACAGATGGACTCCTAGTAGCTATTTCAGGCAATCTGGGAAGGTTACCTATAAGCTGGTAGTGAGGAAAGCCAAGAAAGAACCAGATTTGAACCCCAGAACCTCTGGAAGGTGTAGGAATTGAAGTTGGAGTAAAGGTGTGACTAAAAAGAGGATTTTTGTGAAAGCCAGTCTGAGAAGTAGAGCCCAGATCCCCGCTTCAACTCTGCACAGGTGGACGATGGCCTGCTTCGCTCAGCAGTAGGGCAAAATAGGTGCACTCTGGCCCAAGGGAGGAAGCAAACCCCCAAACCAGGGACAGTGACAGTTGACACCTTGAAGCCCCCCTGTCCCTTTGAAATACCGGTAGCCAGGTACAGGTGTACCCTTCATTCTATTTTTGTCAAATGGCAATTGGCATTGCTTTGAGAGTTGTAATATTTTGTAATTTTTGTCAACAATATTC